GCATCAAAGGGCGTCAAAGCAAGAAATGAAGCACATGACAATGAACTAGTCGACATCTGATGACTAGATATTCTTATAAAGTTTTCTGAGGTTAATTGGATTTTACCAGAATTGTATATCATAGATAAATGGGAGGACACAAGACATTGTACATCATGAACTTTGGTAGGTTTGCTAGAGATTAGAATATTAAATGATTTTCTTTGGAACGTACAAACCAATAGTCAGTCAAAATTAACAAGATCTGTTGTTTCATTCATTATTATAATTGTAACAAATATATAAATAGTAGCAAAAGGGACTAATATAGTAATATTGCAACATAATTAAAAAAATGGTTTTTGTTAATACCTGGGATTAAGATTTCAAGTCCCAGATAAATACTGAAAGTAGAAAACACACTGAAATGAAAAAAGAAATTGGGATGAATTTCAAAACGACCAAATTCAGGAATAACACGTTATATGATGATACATTATTAATCAATATAATTGAAGACTGTAACCTGAATTTTAGACCAGTATGAGGAAATTCACTAACATCATGTTCGATATATAAAAGCTACTTGGCATTGGCGATACATAAAGAGCTATTGTTAATTGATTTATTGGGAGATGAATATACTATTTTGTTGAATTGCTAAAAAACCCTCTGTGTTTACATTCCTAATAAACATAATACCTCACGTTCAAACTGCAGAAGAAGCTTCTGTTGTTAGAATGTCACAGTATATTCAACTCAAAACAACCATATAACCGAGTGCCTTCAAGCAAAATAGAATCAACTTCTTACAAATAAGGGTCGATTTAAATATTCACAGTAAAAATGTCAGAAGAGCAATCAGGGCCGTTAAAAAGAAAGGAGCTATATAACGGAAAGAACCTACGGAAAAGAGAATTTCATTAGGAAAACTGGTCATGTATTTGTAAAGTTGAAACTATATTTTATTTGCTTTACCCTTAAAGAGACGATTCCAAAATGAGAACCATCCTAGTTTTAATCATAATAGATAATGGACACCGTCCAAGTTCGCCCGTTAGCGTGTATATGAGGGGTCGATTAACGAGATTTGGTTATTTTTCGTAGAAATTCATTATGAACATTTTAAATATATCTAAATTTTCAAATCCAAATTATTTCCTATCCATATGTCAAAATAGGTAAGGCAGTGTGATCACATACAAAAACAGCCTGCACTTTTATATCAAATCAATTTCGTATAAAATTTACATTTATTGGGGATAAACTAGTTCCACACTCAACTTCGATTAATTTTTGTGATGGATTCGTTTTTAAAGCGCGCAGAAATATGGGTTGAATTTGCCAAAAACTGGCGTCTAAAAATATGACAGCTATTATAATCGAATGTATGAATAAAATGTGTGTACCTATAGTTCTGTAAGTTTTGTGCTTATATATATATCTTATAGGTAAAGCTTTGAAAGCAATGAATGTTTTAATATGTAGTATTAACAAGTATGAAATATCCCCTTCTGTTTCCTTACAATTATTTGATGCTTTTGTCGGCTCTATCGTAAATTATGCTTGTCCAGTCTGGGGATTTAAAAAATCTAAAGATAAAGAGAGATTACACTTGAAATTTTGCAAGTTAATTCTTGGTGTGAAAATAAGCTCTTGTAATGCAGTAATTTATGGTGAGCTAGGAAGATATCCACTTTATGTTAATAGATATGTTCACATAATAAAATATTGGTTTAAAGTGATACATTCAAGCATTATCATAGTCAAATGTGTGTATATAAATACATTAAATCAGTGTAAAAAAGGAGTAAAAAAACTGGGCATATAAAGTAAAAGGAATTTTAGATGAATTTGGTTTGTCTGAGGTGTGGAATTGTCCTGAACTTTATAATCCAAAAGATTTTGTTAATATTTTTAAACAAAGAGTCATTGATGTTTTAAACAAAAATGGTTTTCAGATATTGTTAATAATAACGTTTTAAATACATTGTATAGACATATCAAGGATGATTTTTCTATGGAATGCTATTTAGATAAAATTAAGTGTATGAAATCAAGACAACAATTAACCCGTCTCAGAATATCTGCGCATAATTTAAGAATAGAATCTGGTAGAAACAGACTTGAAAGACATGAGCGCATATGTCAACTTTGTAATACACAAGATATTGAAGACGAATTTCATTTTATACTTGTTTGTAATTTGTACCAGGAAATACGCACTAAATTCATTAAAAAATATTATTATAAAAAACCTAGCATGTTTAAATTCATAGAACTACTTCAGTCATGTGAAAAGTCTATGTTATTTAATTTATGTAAATTTATCTATTTTGCAAATAGTAAAAGAAAAGATACGTTGATAAGCTTAGGTTATACATAAATGTAATGTTAAAATGTTGTTATTGTTTTCATAGATATTGTAAACGTTTAGATTTCGCCAGTAATTTTTATATTTAAATGAGATTATTCTGATATTAAAAATGAGATTATTCTGATATACATTTATTTTATACAAAATCTTTTTCGCAGCAATATATGTTTATTCTCCAATATACTGTAAATCTTTGAATTATATCATGTGTTTATCTATTTATAATATTTGATATGTGTAATGTAACAAGATACTGTATTGTATACGTTTCGAAATAAATTTCTGTTCTGTTCTATATAAGTATATGTTAAAAAGGGTCTGCATCCTTTCCTGCTATCATTTGCCAGTTTGTTAAACTGTTTGTTGCTATTGACAACAGTCTGTTTCTTAGAAATGACGCAACCAAGATAAGTGGCGATATTTAAAAGTAGATATTAACGACGTTTGTACTTGTTAACTGCTCGCCATTTCGCTATAAAATACACCATTGGTCTGCGGTCCTGATGACATTTTGAACATCACTAGGCCTTTATCGCACAATGGCGAGCAGCAACAATGTATTGGCCTTTAAACAATTCGTTAAAATAAACGACGTGCAAAATAGTCATTATGTTCAGGGAATGGTTGTTATTTTCATAAACTGTACGAGTTATCTGCCATGTTATAGAAGGGCCAATTTTGATTATTGAAAAAATATTACACATTTTGACGTGACGTCATTTGCAATGTATATAAACATAGCGTTAAAGCGCGCTAATTTTAGCGTTACTCTATTACGTCAATTAAAAATGACTTTTTTATTATTTTATTTATGAAACAAATAAAATATATTCGTGTAGATTCAGTACTAAAGCTATTTAACTCGTTGAATAAAACAGGCTTGCATAATATGATTTTATTCAACTCTTTCAATAAGTTTAATATTATAAGAATCTTACACTGGCAGCCGGTACAAACTGGAATATCTATTCCGAGGGTAACGGGTCTCTGCAGTTTCCGCTAAATAGTTACCCGAGAGCTAGATATTCCCACCTTACTGACGACCGGTGTGTGATTCTTTTTCTTGCATAATACGTATCAATTATTTTTAAAACAGACATTACACAAACTGATATTCTCATTACGTACTTTTTTTCTTAAAGTAACGTATGAACTTCATTCACAACGGTAAAATGACGTCATCCTAAGAACGCAACTTATTCATAAAAGGCGCGAGGAAATGACGTCATTTAAAGCACGCGACTTGTCTTACATGGAGGAGGTGGGTGTAAGACAGGTTTTTCTAGCACCGGTGTATAAGGCAGATTAATAATATTTGTCATATGTTGCGGTTCAGATCGGAATATCGGTCCCGAGCGAGGGGACTCGCCCATTGGGCGGTAACGAGGTTTGCCAAAGTACCGCCCATGGGCGGTTACCCGAGGGACGGATATTCCGATCTGAACCGCAAACATATGTCAGATATTTTTCTTGCATATTCTGTCATATTCTTTCATATTTGAAAAGGTTAACGTTAATAAGATATTTGTTCATCGAAATGCAGGTCATTTCATCCATAACTATTTTCTTACAATGGCGTATGAATTTACAACTTTAATAACAACGGCGAAATGACGTCATCCTGAGCAGATAGTTTCCTTCTAAAATGCACCGAAATGACGTCATTTTTACGCAATTTATTCATAAATTGCGATAAAATGACGTTGTTATTTGCATGCGACTAATCTGGCACCCACCATGCCAGACGAAATTTTCGGCATGGCTAAAACTCACGTTAACGCCAGTATCCTATGCAATAACCATCATATCTGTCATATGTTGCGATTCGGACCGGAATATCCGTCCCGAGGGGACCCGCCTATTGGGCGGTAACGAGGCTTGCCGAGTTAGCGCCCATGGGCGGGTTCCTGGGGGGACAGATATTCCGATCTGAACCACAAACATATGTAAGATATTTTTTGGCATATTCTGCCCTTTTATTTCATATTTAAAATGGTTTACCTCAATATAATATATGTTCATGGCAATTAAAGTCATTTTATCCATATTTTCTTACATTTAGCACATGAACTTACAACCTCAATAACAACAACGAAATGACGTTATCTTAAGCACACATTTCCCTTCTAAAATGACGTCATTTAAACGCAGTTCATTCATAATGGCGCTTAAATGACGTTGTTGTATGGCACGTGACTCATCTGGCATCCGCATGCCAGATGAAATTTACGGCATGGGTAAAACTCACGGAAAAGCCAGTCTGCTACGCAAAAATAAAAGTGTCGGGTCAATAAATGTGGTTTTGTTGTAAAAAAGAGACTATTGCTGACATTTTCGTTTTCATTAATTATAGTTTACCAAACAACCGTATAATTACATATATCTCAAGTATAAATCTATTTCAAAGATACACAGATCCTTTATGGCAGCTATAAATATTTCAAATAAAAGGTATCAAATAATTATTTTTTAGTCAAACCATACTTTTTCTAAAAAACTGCTTTAAGTAATTTAAGAAAACTCAAACTTAAATGTTTCTGACAGATAAGTTGTCAGTCATTGTCGCGTGCTTTTAAACTTCGTTTATTTAATTTGATACCTTTAAAACTTTATTAACCACTAAAGATTACTGATTGTAAGAAATGTATAATTACCTATGTCTTGATTCCCTGCATGCTGTACATATAAACGTGTCATGGTCAGGACAATAGAGAGTACATTGTGTATTTTGATGCTCGGCACAAGTCATACTTCTGGTTACGTCAGCAAAGTCTGAAGACAGTACATTCACGCTTTCAAATATCTGGTACATGTTTTTGTGTTTACAGAATAAATAAAAAAAATATAAACGTATTAACTTTCTTAGATAATCCTTTGATATCTTAACGTTATAGAGCAAAAGATTATTTTAAACTAATTTTGATTTAATTAGTCAATAAATACTTTATATTTGCACTGATAACAAATGCACCGACTGGAGCAGAATACACTGTTAAATGTAAAATATATCAAATATCATTATTATCCATATTTAACTTACGCAGACGTTGTTTTGCTTTATCTATGCCATTTGATGAGCAATTAGCAATTATGTCATGTGATTCAATGTCATATTTTACTTGTAGCCATCGTCTAAGCTCAAACAGTTCTTGTTGAAATTCGTTACTGATGATAGCCTTAAGAAAATCTTCTATGGCCTTCGAACTTGGGAAGTTGATATGTATATCTGTTGACGATTGGTCAGTGGAAGAAATATCAACGATACGGCATTTCTTTATGGCCTTGATGAACTCTACGATGTGATAGATTGGTGTATCAGTTGATCTTTCACCAAAAGGCGAACCAATCAAATAATCATTATCTTTAATATAGTCTTTCATTACTTCATAAACACGTTGATTCCCTTCGACACTTTTTTCACCATTTGTAGCAATAACTTTTATCTGTAGATCAAGCGAGAAGTGCTCTGAAAAAAACATAGATTTAAATTAAAGACTGAATTAATGCACAGTTTAACGAGCATCAAAATATGCAGCTGTTAATGCACGCACAGATTGCATGTGTATTAGCGCTATTCTCAAATAACTTACATATGCGTTTCGTTATTTTTTTTATATGAATGTAACACAGGTTTTGTAATGCTTTCCCGTTTAAATCCGTTAGACATGGCGCCCTGAGTCATGAATATTAAAAAAAGCATGCTTGCGTTATAATATCTGTAAAAACATGTTTCCGTCTTCGTTAATATACACCTACTTGCGCAGTGTGTATGCAATAACAACAAGGAAAAGTTAGAGAAGTGGTATTTTGACTATGAATTATTGATATATGTATTTCAAATATAGCTAGTTCAACTCACTTAAGTTACATTCTCATTTTAGTCCTCAAACAAGTGAATGTATAAAATAACAATAATGTTCTTAATGTGTTTTCCTTTTGACTTCTTTTCAATGTTTACAAAAATCTTTATCGATAACAGTTGTGAATTCACACTTGTTTAAAGTTTTTTTTCAATATTAAGTACCTTTAAGATTCTTTTGTTTTCCCGCAAGTCTAAGATATAGCATAAGCTGAAGCTCATTTTCTTTATCTGTAAATAAAATCACAACTCGAGCAATTACAAAAATTTATGGAAATAATATTTAATAGTGCTAAACATAGTATGTGCATGTCCTATTTTAAGTAATTCGACTTGTATTTGAATGGGAGGAATACATAATAATAAATTATTTAGACCAAATATTGTGCAAGATAATTTCGAAAGACCAACACTTATGTGTTTGTAACATTAAAACAACAACAACACTAACTTTGTTCATAGTTACAAGCCCACTTAAAAATAAGTCTGCAAACTCTGGAATATTTTCTAATCTTAATATTATTACTTAAAATATGTATTGATTATTCTTTTACAAACAATAATTTTCTAGTAATCTGATGTTATTTTAATTGTTGCTTTTCTATAGAAATACCGATGTTTTTTCTAAGGAAATGTCTCTTGTATGACCTCATTTATATAAACTGTATCAACTCCTCAAACACCTATTTTCTGACATATTCAAACATAATTTTTATTTCAAAATCTGATTCTCTATGTAGCTGCAATTTATTTTTTAAATTCTTCTTCTCTTTGTTGCTATTTCTGCATTTTGTACGAGTATATTAATATAACATATGTTAACAAGAACCGGTTGAACCGGTGATGCTCCCCGAGAAGGTTTTGGACAAGGGAAAGTATAAAAAATGAACAAAGGGCAAAAACTCCAAAATAAGGCAAGACAGGGTTATGTTTTTTTGCACTGCAAACCTACTCAATAAGATATATCTCGTTATAAAGCAAAGATTCATGCTGATAACTCTTATAGTTATAGAGTAATGTCCCAGACAAAGTTCAAAGTGTAAAAATGAACAAAGGACAATAACTCCAAACTTAGGCAAGACAGAGTTATGGTTCTTTAACAATGCACTTCTACTCAATAAGATTTATCTACCTACATAGTTTCAATTTTGATATCTCTTATACTATAAGAGTTATGTCCCGGAAAAAGTTCAAAGTGTAAAATTAAACAAAAGGCAATTATTCAAAAATAAGGCAAGGCAGAGTTACGGTTCTTATGCACTGCAAACCTATTTAATGAGATATATCTAGCTACAAAGTTTCATGTTGATAACTCTTATGATTTAAAAGTTATGTCCCGGACAAAGTTCAAAGTGTAAAAATAAACAAAGGGCAATAATTCAAAAATGGCATGGCAGAGTAACGGTTCTTTTGCACTGTAAACCTACTAAATGAGATCTATCTAGCTACAAAGTTTCATGTTGATAACTCTTATAGTTATAATGTCCCGGACAAAGTTCAAATATCAAAATGAACAAAGGACAATAACTCTAAACTTAGGCAAGACAGAGTTATGGTTCTTTAACAATGCACTACTACTCAATGCGATTTATCTACCTACATAGTTTCATGCTGATATCCCTTATACTTTTAGAGTTATGTCCCAGACAAGTTCAAAGAATAAAAATAAACAAAGGGCAATAATTGAAAAATAAGGCACGACAGAGTAACGTTTCTTATGCACTGCAAACCTACTTAATGAGATCTGTCTAGCTACAAACATTCATGTTGATACTCTTATAGTTTTAGAGTTATGTCCCGGACAAAAATCAAAGTGTAAAAAATAAACAGAGGGCAATAATTCAAAAAAGGCAAGGCAGAGTTACGTTTCGCATGCACAGCGCACGTCCTCAATGAGATCTATCTACCTACAAACTTTCATGTTGATACCTCTTGTTGTTTCAAAGTTATGTCCCGGACAAGAAAAGCGGATGGACGGACGAAGGGACGGACGGAAAAGCGACGACTATATGCTCACCCTTCGGGGAGCATAAAAACCGTATGTGAGTTATGCATACTGTTTTGTCAAATCTAACCTATTTATGAATTTCCATCAGTTTTACGTCACACAGTATAAGTCATTTGGCGACGTTCCAGCTTTACTGGTAAAGGAATACCTCCGGTGCCCTTCCGTGCATTATTTCAGGCACGAACGGGCACCTGAGTAGAACCACCGACGTTCCGTAAGCTAGCCGGATAGCTTCCTCACAAGAAATAATCCTAAGTCCCTGCCAGGATTCAAACCCACAGCGATGAGGGTCAATACGAATTTGTGCGATTCAAGGGAATAAATGTAATTCTTTTCAAACGAATACAGGATTTTTAACTACACATGTATTTCGATAATACTTAGTTTTGAATTCAAATCATGGTCTAATGACCTGGTAGAATTTTCGTATAAAGATAAGCTCTTATTTGTTCAAATTAAAACTTAAGGACAAACCTTTTATCTGTTGCTCTATCAGTTGAAGTTTCAATTCATGCTGAAGAAAGAAAAGTGTAACATTATATATATTATTTGAATCATGTGTTTATCGTGCATACACATGACGAAGAAGGAACTTCATTTTAATTATACTTATTGTGTTAATGTTCATTTAAATCCTTATACTCATTATAATACTAACGGAACACTGGATACCACCGTTCAAATACTACATTTAATTACCTTAAATAGAAGGTAAGAACTGTTGATGACGACAAAGTATATTTACGTAATAACACTTTCATGCCATTCAAAATATATTCTTTTTTTTAATTACTCACAAATGCACTGTTCGCCTCAGCGTATTGTTTTAGATAAAGAAATCTAAACGAGGCTATATAATCAAGCGTGCATGATAGCTAACAGAACGACAAATGTTAACATCTTTTTCTCACTAATGATTCGTATACAATAAAAAGATTATCACCTTAATAATCACAGTATTTTTCAAAGACCTTTTGAATTTATTATCCATTTTATGAGACTTGAAAATCAATATTGCCTTACTTTAAAATTGCCTTACTTTATCGGTGGTAAAAGCATTGTTATAACAATACTCAAATGCATTAGCTAAACAACTTGCCCTTTTTTGTGTTTTTGTATTTCTCTTCTAATCTAGACATCCCATCTCTCTCAGTTCTCTATCATCTCATGTTCAAGATTTATCTCAATCTGATTCTGTTGCACCTGTAAGAAATTTATGACAGGACTCCTTTGAAGAATTGTCTTTTTCATGTCACAATAAAATGGCAGAATGCATATTGGGTCAATTTTATAAGAATGGAAGTACCTTAAGTATCACTTGAAAGCAAAGAAGCAATACATGGTCTAAAAAGAACTAAAATTTTACCAGTTTAAATCTTTTTAAAAAACACTGCGAAATTGTTTACATGTAATAAGCTTTTTTGATCATTTTTTCATCCTGAATTGTTGCAATCTTGTTTATACTCAAATAATTGACTGAGTGTATGTGTGAAAAGCCAAGAGGTAACAAATTCAGATTTACAAAAGGATACAGAGTGATTCATTACAGTGTTAGAACAGATAAAGATGATTGTACTTACTTTTATAGTCAATAATGTATTAACTATAATGATGATAGTCAATATTGTACTTACTATCATAGACGATAAATGTGTTTCAACACTTATGCAAAACGACCTGAACGTATTATAACAAATCATATATCTTTTACAAAATAACAAATACGAGTAGTTAAGAATTTTGAAATTGCTTAACTATATTGTGCAACAAATATTACAAAATTGATCAATATATTCGTAATTGATACATTAAGAACGAAATACGATTAATTTCATAATGAACTAATAAAGTGTAATCCAGTTTGGCTAATTTTGTCTTTATAATTACTACATTACTCTTATAGGATATTTACCATATTTAGTAAATGTAATGCGTTTGCAACGCCTGGTTCCCCTTTCAGGGGTGTATTGCCATGTTTGTCCTTGGATTTCTAGTAACTTCTTTTGAAACATTTTTATAAAATTTGTTTAGTAGATTTTCAGAAAGTTCATAATTTGGACTGTGGGAAGAATATCATTCCCGCTTTACCCTTGCCTTATAAAAGTTTAAACTTCAATATATAAAAGTCTTCATTTTTTAATTTAGTGGTAAAAACCGCGTCACTTATAAAATTCC